GTCTGGAAAGCCACTGGTAGCACTGAATAATAGGCAGGGTTAAGGATTTAGAAGTGTGTGAAGAAGCTCAATAAAGAGAGCCTGGCAAGCAATCTAAATCCTGGAAAGAACTCAAGGGGAAGTGCCCACAGAAGGTTGTGCTAATCATAAGATAGTAAGCAAATAAACACCTAAAACTGTGCAACATTTAAAGCTTTAAATCATAAAAACATCCAAAACATAACATTTAAATTAAAATCAAACATGAGTTTTCTCAGACCTAGGAAAGTTATATGAAAGAAATCTTATATTATTCTTTATAAAATTTTACAAATAAAAGTACAAAGTCAGGCTTACCAAGTGAGGTAAGCCAGGCATTCCCATTTCTCTTCCTATTTAGTTATGAATGAACTGAATATTAACTTGCAGGTATTTGTAAGATTTTTGCAATTTGACAAATGAGATGCATTTGACTTCAGTTAGCCACTATTTTTTCTTCCTCACTCTAAGATATCAAATACTGAAGCACGTTTCCTTAACAAATACAATTCAAAACAAACTTTTGTTTCTTTAAAGCCCAGAAATTCTCATTTTCAAACGTTGTGCAACTATCTTTTGTAGAAGCAGTCTGTAGAACTGCCAAAACTACATGCAACAAAGAGACGAGATTTTATCAGAATGACATGCCTTCAAAAAGCTGAGTTTCTTTCCTGCCAGAAAGAGAAATTACTAATGTGCATTGTAATTAGTGCAAAAAACAATACTATCTTTGCAGTTGCAGACTGGAAAAAACTACAGTTTGATGTTTACACTGCAGTAAATAAAGTGGAAAAACTTTTGAGTTGGGTAATAAGCACATTTTTCCTCTCAAATGTTTAATGACAGTGAATCATTAAACACCGATGAGGCGAGGTCTTCCCCATTTTGCTAATGCAAAGATTAGAATATTGCTGAATTCCCTAGTGACTGATAAATTAATAAAATCCAAATGAAGTAATTTTAACTTTAGAGTCCACAGGAATTGCATAATTCTGTTTTTCCCACTGTTCTACAGCAAGTGAGGGGATGCAAACCTTGCCAAAGCTTGATAAATTAATGGAAAAAAAAAAAAAAAAAGGAGGAAATTGTTTGCCTGCAACACTCAGTGCTTGGATGCAGCAACCCACGTCTCAAGAAACAAATATTTTTGAAGCAGAAAAGCTAGGGACTACTGTCTCTTCATGTAAGTGGCACTTCCACACACCACCCCCCCACCATTTATTATCAATACTTCTGTCCTTTCCAGACATCCTGTCTCTACTTACATTCCATTTTCAGTTTGCCCTCAGCTGGCAAACACAAGATGAATCCCAACTCTGGAAAACCACTGGAAGAATTTTTTTTTCCCCCCCAACTATCAGACCACTGTATTTCTTCAGAAACACTTTCAAACTAATCAACTTGAAATGCATTTCAAATACTTGAAGTACTGCTGTTTCAAATGCAAAGAAGCCATCAGATATAGATATAAGATCCAAGTTTTATGTGAGGACAGATTTACACAGGACTGTAAAGTAAAGGAAAAGAAGCCTTAAATGAGAAAGCAAGAAACCTCACATAATAAAAATGTGACCAAGTGAGGAAGAGGAAAGAAATGGATGCACATGCCATGGTATCTTAATTTTCAGGTCTGCCACTCCACCAGTCTGAACAAGTGCAACACAGACAGCAAGGAAACAAGAGGCACTTTGTGCAGTGTGAGGTTCTGGAGTGGGGAAGAGAGATGAGAGATGAAAAGTATCTCTTGTAATGCAAAGAATGCAGCAAAACTCAAGGATCCCAACAATACCACTGTCAAAGAAAACTTTTTTCCTGCAGCGACTCAGTGCCCAGGCAGCAGGAGAAAGGTGTGCATCTAGAAAGCTGAGAGACAGGATAAGCAATGAGAACCTGAGCGGCAGCAGTTTTTCCTTGAGATTATTCCTCACCTCCACCAGAACTCACCAGCACATCAAAACAAAACTCTCCCTGAGCCAGAGATCCTCTCAGAGAGCACCCAGGAACTTCTCCCACCTATTAATGCCTGTGAGTAGATACCACTCAAAGGTGAAGGGCAGAAAACCATGAGCTCAATGAATGGAGTATTTTCTGATTCATGACCTGGGGCATCGGGTGAAAAAGGAATTGCACTCTGCTTCCATGGCTCTGAAAGGGAGCACACAGGTTTTTTAGCCCAGCCAGCAGAAGTATCTGCCCAGCTCAAGTAGGTCAAAGACATCTAAACCATGACAGACACAGGCCACAAAACAGCTGGTGGATACAAATTAAGTGTCAGCGCTCACAAACCAACAGTCTGGTTTTGTTGCTTATCAAACATCCCAGAAAATGCAACTACACAGAAAAACATGAAGCAGCATTCTGTGAGTGAAAGCTTCTGAAGTGAGTCTTAAAACAACATTTTTGTCAACTGTATTTAAGACTTTGTATGAGTTAATTCAATTTAAAGTGTCATTAGACATACTCTGAACTTCAAAGAAAAAGTTATATCTATTTTTGTCTGCTCTTCATATTTAAACTTTAAGTATTGAAAGAAAAATATTTCCCAAAGTTAACTCCTCTTATTTAGTGTCCACTTGTGCTGCCAGAGTGAGTAAGTTCTGTTCCTTTTCTTCATTATTTTATTTATGGATTAACACAGAATAAAAGTGGATTGATTTTTTTTTCTTTAAAGTATAAAAATCTATTATTACTCCATGATTTCAGCTGGGGAAAAAAAGTTTATTAAAACACATACTACAGGCTGACCCTGTCTTGTGCCCCAAAGCAGACAGCAAAATAAAGTCATGTAACAACAACAAATTACATTAGTGATGCTTAAGGAAAAAAACCCAAACTAGTTTATTCAAAACAAGTGAAGGTAAATAAGTCACTCTCCCCGTGTGAGGATGCGCAGGCACCATCCTGATGAATTTCCAGCAGGCAAATACCTTCTGCTCTCATACAATAAAATCATTCAGAGACAGTAACTCACATGACTTATTTCAAAGTGACAAATAAAGGAGTGACACTGCAGTCACCTAGCAGCTGGCCATAAACTCGCTCCACTGAAAGGAATTTATTCAAAATAGAGTCAATAACAAATTCTTAAATATTTCAACTTGGCAGAAGAAAACCTGGCTCAACACCACTACATTCCAACCTTCCTGGAGTTCCAGGTTAACATATGTATATGTGCTCTGGCTAAGTGTCACCTTAGAAAAATAAGAGACCAGTGTCTGTCTAAATTCTGTGTGCTGGTTCAACCAGCAGGACTGTCCCCATGGCTGGTACCACCTCCCACACAAACCATTGCACCCCTTTAGCAAGAAGATGTTGGCTGAAGGCAGGAATTAATGCTCTGGAAATGTTTGCTTTAGAATTAATCCACTGATGTGCATTAAAGAGACACGTAACATGCCTAGAATGTAGGGCTGAAAGTGCTTTAATGAATAACCCAAAACACCACTCAAAATGAGGCAACTTAAGCCTGAAGCCAGACTCTAGCCAACACAGTATTTTGGGTGCTGTACATATGGACAGATGCACCCACATACATGTACCACCCTTCAGCAAAGCTCCTCTTCACCATACAGAGTGCATTTTCTATATGTGCATTGATATTTCTACTAGTTCTACACTGTATTAAGGATAATGAAAGTATCCATCCAATGCTGCTTTGCTTCAACTTTTCCTGTTGTAATATAAAGCCATTGAACCTTTAACCTCATCTGTACCTCTGATACACAGAGCATGGGACAAGCTGTCATTGTGGCAAATGAATAAGGCATTTTAATTTATTTTGTTCTATTGGTCCCTCAGCTGCTTCAGTTATCAACATAATACTGCTATAAATACTGCATTTGCAATAGAAGGAGTGGAAAAATGGCAACATACACACAAATGAAAAAGGTGGCGTGACTGCTATGAAAGTCTATCACTGAGAAGCTGATGTGTGCACAAAAGGCAAATCAGCTTTAAACAAGGCCTGTAAATGGTGACAAGCCAGAGAAGAAGCTGCATTCTCAGTTTTTTCTCACTTGCTTCACCAGCCTCATCTACATCATAAAACAGGGACTCAAAAAGTCAAACCAATATGAAAAATAAACCAATGCGTAATCTGAAAGTATGCATTTCAGTCTAAATTCTGATATTTTTCCTGTATCAAGGATTCATCATGTTGTCAGGAAAAACACCACCTGCTACTGTTTACTTTTCCTGACAACTTTTTTTGATTTTTGGCAATGTCTGAGTGGCCAAGCTGGGGACAACTCCTTACAGTGAATCACAGAATCATTAAGATTGGAAAAGATCTCTAATATCACGGAGTCCAACCTTTGACCAAACACCACCTTGTCACCCAAACCAAAAAGAAACACCAGTTGTTTCTTGAACACCTCCAAGGATGGTGACTCCTCCTCCCTGGACAGGCCATTCCAATGCTTAACAAGCCTTTCAGTAAAGAAAGTCTTTCTCAAGTGAAGATCTGCTGCCCAGGATCATCCAACAAGCAGAGGAGCCAAGGACAAAAGCCGCCTCTCATTTCACATTCCCCAGTGACAGGTTAGCTGTGGGCCCCCCTCTTACACAGCAGGAAGGTGCATATCCATGGAGATCACACCACCATAGGAGAGAAAAACTCAGCAGGGCCAGGGCAGGTCTGCCCAGAACACAACTGGTTAGAGAAAACATTGCACAAAGCAGGGGACCTGGGATCTTGCTCAGATTACTCATCTTAGGAAAAAAGGGGGAGTGATGAACTTATGAAACTGCCTCATCCCTGGAAGTGTTTAGGGCCAGGTTGGATGGGGCTCTGAGCAACACGGTCTGGAGGAAGGTGTCCCTACTCATGGAAGGGGGTGGAAGGGATGATCTTTAAGGTCCCTTCCAACCCAGGCCATTCTGTGACTCTAAGTTTTAGAGTTTTCTGCATGCTTTATGTGCAAGTACTTTCAGAAGAGAGCAGGGAAATTCTTTCTTGGAGGGTTTTGGTGCTAACTTCTTACCTGCAGATAAAGACAGAGATGTCCGCTTATGCACAATCTGCTACTCCAGGCATCAGTGTTCACTCTGCTGACGAGGGCAGTTCCTAGAAAGAAAAAAAGAGAAATATTGTTACACATTAGTGAAACAAACTTCTTGAGGATGAAGTTTTATTCCTCCTCCTTTAATGTTTTGGAAAAACACCATGTTCACCAGGCACCTATAGATCTACAACAGCACAGTACACACAAGCAGTATTTTATTTTTGAAAAGTTAAGGCAAAAGAAACTTGGAATACTGCTCTTTATTTGCTGCTTCTTATATCTGGTGTGACATGTTCCTGCTATAAATAAGTGTGGTAAACAATTGAACAGCTTTCCAGAACATTAGGAAAAAAAAAAAACCAAAAACCAAACCCTAAGCACTGTATTAGGTAGTCAGGAGCATCTACCACTGGTAAATTGTAAATATAGGAGATTGTGAAATAATCTTCTTTCCCATTTTTCTTTTTAACGAAAATAATCCTCAAACTGGGTAACTTCCAGTGTATAAACTTCCAAATGCTCTGGAGCTGCATACCCTGACTCCCTCGCAGCAGTGAATCACGAGCAATGTATGCACAAACAGCCAAACAAACTGGGCAAAAGGTAACAAATCCTGAACTGCTGATTAAGACTAATAATCAGCTTGGAAGGGATGCTTACTACAACAATGTTTAACAGCATCATTGTGACAGATATTGCCTAAAATTATGGTACAACCAAGGAGAACATGTGAGATGTGGTTATTTTTAAGCCTTCATAACCAAAGATTCTTTGAGTTATATTTTAAAGGAACATATCTATTATGTGTAACTCTACGTGGGAACTTTATAGAGTGCAGCATGGAAAAACATCTCTAAATCAGAAAAACATCCCACTGGTATTTCAGCATCTCCTCTACCACCGTTGTCAGATATTGCACTTTTTCCAGATAAAATGTCTGTCTCCTAATATCTATCTGATGGAAAGATGTAGTAGTACCAACTCCAGCATAAGAACATCATAGGAGTTCAGAAAACAACAAAAGCCTCTTAAAGATCTGGAAAGAAGGGAGGTCTGTAAAATACTAAAACATGCACACCATGCATCAAAGCCCTACAGAAGTAATTGCATCTCTCATTATAGCCCAAAACTCCACAACAGGACATTCAGGAGCTCCAAAAGTCTCAGGCACATATAATTTTTACCATGACTGACTGAATACGCAGCTTTCATTCACAAACTGGTATTAATTAAATTTCTGGGTTGCCACAATATGTTTTTGTGATGTTTTGTGCTTTCCACTCTGCAGACCCAGTAACATTTACTAACAATTCGCATGAGCCTTTAGCTCTGAAATGAACAGAATAATTTTTTGCGAATTTATGTTTCTCAGCTGAGAAGCTGTAATTTAACATAAGGAAGATATGCGTATTAATCTTCTTAATTTACTTCATTTCAGTTCCATTAGAGAACATTCCTTTAAGTTCTCTACTCAGGTTTATTCACCGCATAGTCCTAAGTAGGGTCAAACAGTCATAGAAAATGCAGAACACTCATCTAATCCAACACATCAGGTTAAATCACCAGTGCTTGAGCCCCAGTTACTTACCAATCCCCACTTACACATGTTAGATTAGGAAAATAAATCTGGTTTTAGGATATAGATGGTGAATTAGTTAATCCAGAAGAACATATGCTTGAATTGCTTGAATTTTGCTGAGGGAGGAAGAGATAGAGAAGAGAGAAATAATCACCTCACCCTAAACTATGAAAACTCAGCTTTGAGATGCTAAAAGTTGTCTTCATCTACTGCAAACTGATCAACGGCCAATACATAAATAGCAAACATTTCAATTACCACTGTTTGTTAATTACCCTAGAACACTCTATACAGAGAAGAAGAGTGGATTCTGAATCTGAGTGGAGTGGCTGTGATGCTGATCCAGCAGCAGGCACTGACACTTCCGCTCCAACAGAGCTGCATTATCTGCAGCTCTATTAAAACCCTAAAGCTCCTCTCAGACCACTCTGCAAACTGAGTGGGAAGGAGTAAGGATAAGAGCCACATTCTGTTCTTAGGGACCCCTATTAAATCAGATTCCAAACATCAGCCACTTCCTCTTTGTTTTCCTCAAGCCATATGGCTTCCTGACAAAATCTGTACAAACAATAAATCCATTAATCAAGCCACTGCTAGAGCAAAAGGCTTTTTTCCCCTCCCTTTCCCTTCATCAATCCAGACATTCTAATGGAGATGTTTTACGTATTTTATTTTATGAAAGTCCCAAGGAAAATACTTTGTTCTCACATTGCAGCCCCAGTTCCAGTTCGTACTTGTAGAAGGAGATCCTCACATAAAATGCAAAGAGATACAGGCATAGAGAGAAGTCAGTCAAACCAACAAGAAAGGAGTCCAGCCTAGTTGAATCTTAGCAGAGATAAGCATAAATTGTTACCTAGGTCCACTGGCATACTGTCTCAAAAAAACAAAAGTTACAAAGAAAACATAATTAACAGAAGTAGGTAAAATAAGAGAGGCATTAAAAGTCTATTCCCACAAGGCTCTGAGGAGATGCACACATGCAAATGCCACAAGTAGCTCAAAGGAAGAGCTTCTATTAAGAGATTCCACAAAAATGGACTTCCCTACATGCAGGGAACTCAGTGGGAGGGAGGATACAGAGAGCAGCAAGATTTCTACCCCTTGTAGGTGGGAAACTCCCTTTCCAGAAGGTAGAAAGATCTCCCATTCCTTTGAAAGAAGGGAGAAGAACACTAAACCCAAACCTAACCAGGGTCATTCTTTCACCAAACTAAACATACACTGGAGGGACTGCTGGAAATGCAAACTGCCTGTTTTGATGATCTGTTCCCATGCAGGCTTTTCCCAAAACTTCTTTGACTGAAATTTCATTAGTCAATAGTCTGCAGCGCAGGAAGACTGGCGGGGAGGTGGTGTTTGCATTTTTTTTAAATACAGGGAAGCAGCATTCTTGATTAAATGCAGGAAATCTTTGAAATTACATCCCCTTCTGTCTTCACTGAATTAAGTAACAATTACCCACAAAGAAGAAAAAAAAAATACAGAGCTTAGAAAGTTTGAGTCATTATCTTCAAGGAGACACATCTAACGTTAACAAGGTCAGAACATTTCAATCAGTTCTTGTGGGTAATGGGAGATACAAGATGTTAGCTTCTGTTCCTATCAAGGCAATGACAACTCTGAAAGACTGCAGATACCACTTGGAGCCTACACCACTATAAATTATAAGCCTTGAGGCCACAGCCTAGAAAGATACATCATATCCAAAGTACAGATGGATTTGTGGATGCCTTGAGGTAGTGATGAAAGGTGTGTTTGTTTTGGACAAGGTGGTAAGGAGGATCAGGTGCTGCCAGCTAGGGAAGCCTTTTACTGCATCTGGGGCAGATGGTCCCAATTATCTTCTCATCACTGCTAATCAGAAATCATCCTTCAGCAGCTATATAATAACCTATGTAAAAATAAACCTGGGATCAGTGTTTGGCTTCTAGCAAGGGGAGAACTTGCCTGTCACAAGTCAGTCAGTGCAGGCAGCATCCTGTCTTGGAGTCTCATTTACAAGCCTGTTGTATGAAGCTCTGCAGGTGCAAGACCGTGTCTTTGCATCAGGTGTGAAAACGGAATACAGGTAATGCTGGCAAGAAAACTTAGGGGCACACCAGTGGGGAGGAAAAGGCAGCTCTCCCTCCTGCCAGCTTACTCTTCTGCCCTTTCTGACCCTATTGATAAACAGCATGTGCTCCCAAATTAACAGGATCTCTATCACCCTGCTCTGGCTACTGCTCTTACCTACGAGGACAAAACTGATCCAAACTGGAAGCAAGATACATTATATGGAGAAGATAAAGAGCATGAAGCTCTTCATGTCTTCACTGACTGAAGCCACTTGTTCATGTCCTCACTTGACTGTTGAAGGTGGCCAGTCATAATAAGATCCAAAAAATTTATTGCCTCTCTTCCCTGAGCAACCTAACACCTCAAATAGAATTGAGAAAGGATTTGTCCAGCCCAGACTTCACTGCACCATTAAGTCCCATACTCTGTTTTAGCAGGAGCAACACCATTTACATCCCAGAAAAGAAGATGCTTCTTTGTTACTGCTATTTATCTCTTTTCAGGAAGAGAAAAAAACTGCTTATGTTCAAATTCAGCCCTAAACTACTCCTTATTTGCCCACAACAATGCATTCTAGTTCTTTAAGCTCTACTGTGGTGTTGAAAAGCAAGGGCTACAAAAAAAACATGTTGACACGAAAACCAAGAAGAGTGAAATTAAAATTATAAAGCAGCTTGATGTAAAAGAAAAGTCTTGACTGAGATCTCCAGAGTTCTGAGTGTCATTTGTCTCCTCGCAAGTAAGTGAAGGGCACCTGCTTTCAAGGAACAAGAATTCATTTAATACATTTCTAAGCCTTTAGAGTTAGAGTTGTTGAGAAAAGAGAAGAAGAAAAACACTTGAAGTGATTTATTTTCTCTTTGTTTAAACAACACAGCCAGGAGAGCCCTGGCACATGATCTCAGAGGACATCAGAGCAGAATACCCACAGGTAGAGCACATTGCCTTCTCTTCCTCCAAATTAATGCTTTATTTTGCAACCCTGGTGATTAAAGCCCATGGAACCATTACTCCAGGATGAAAAGGGGGTGCTGATACAACAGAGAACCATCACAGCTCACCCACAGACTCACCTGCATGTCCAACTCTATTCCCTCATCCTTGCAGCTGTGCCTGGAAAACACCAGGTGAATTGCACAGAAACCAGGAGCTTCTCTTCTTGTCAGCAAAACCACTTTGTTTTTTTCAACAGAGGAGGCACTGAGGTGTCACACTCACTGACAGGAGGAATGCTTTCCTCTGCTTCCTTCAGCAGCCCTGAAAGCAGGATGGTTCCAACAAGCTGCTGATCAGAGGATTCCCTCCCAAAACACTGCCCTGGCCACACCACTGTGGTTCCACACAGCCAGGCTTACTTCACAAGGTAATTATTCAACAGAACAACAGAGAAAGTCACGGCAGTAACTCGCTTTGTTGTTGAAAACT